CATTAAGTTGTGTGTGTAGGGAGGCAGGAGGATTTAGGGGAAACTGGGTGAGGAAAAAAAATAAGATCAAAATATGATAGATGATTTTTCTTGAATAAATAAAGGTTTAAAAAAGCCTTTACTGGCTCCCTCTTGTACTTTCAAATCCATAAGCCTTATTTATCATAATACTCAAAGTGCACCATTAGGCTCCCAGATCCTAACCTCATCTTTCATTGGTGCCTACACTGAGATTCCTGAAACACTGGCTAGTTAAAATTCCCATATAACACAGGTCCTGAGGTGTAGGGTTTATCCCTCCATCCAGACCTATGTCCAGCAAAAAGACCTAACCAAAAAATGTATTAAATGAAGGGCTTATTGAAGTCATATCTTATATCAATTCCATTGCTGAAAAATATTATTAATTCTACTTTTTTATAAAAGAAGCCTTCTTTTCATGCTTATTACAGTGCCTGGACAAAATGGATCTTCATTAAAGACTGAATGAGTAGGATGGTGGATGGATCAGTGGATGGATGGATATTTGCATGGATGGACAAACAGGTAGAGATGGACAAGTATGGGGAAAAAATAACATTAGGAGATCGTGTCCTCTGGGTGGCCAGGCTCTTACTGCAGAGAACATGTCTGCGGTGGTTTGAATGAGGATGTGTGGGAGGGATTAGGAGGAGCAGCCTTGCTGAAGACGTGTCACTCAGGACGAACTTTGATGTTTCAAAAAAGTCTATGTCATTCCCAGTTAGCTCTCTCTGCTTCATGGTCACGTCTCAAGATGTGGCCTCTCAGCTACTGCTCCATTGCTGGCCTGCCTGCCTGCAGACATGCTCCCTGCCCTGATGGCCATGGACTCACCTTCAAGACCTGTAAACATCAAGTCTCTTGATGTTGGCATGGTTGTGGTGTCCTATCACACAATAGAAAACTAACTGAGACAATGTCTTAATCCATCTATAGAGTTCTAGATCTCAAAACAGGCTAACATGGGAAGTTTTCAACAAAGTTAGTGACAGTAAATTGATGGGGGATTACACAAGTTCTATTAATAGTATTATCATAGCAAAGCATACTTTAAGAAGTAAATACGGCATTCCAATTAGGTATCTTATATGAAATAATGTTTTAGACATTAAAAAGTTCATACATGGAAGTCCTACTAGCTAGAAAAAGAGGTTTCAGGCACTAAAAGAAGTCATCAGCAACTGCAACGATCTGTAAAAATAATTTCCATCCAATGTTAAAAATGAACCATGTTTCCTTAACCATTCTTCAGTTGCTGAAGATCTGTGTTCTTTTCGTTTCCTGGAGGCTGTAGAGCAGCAGTAAACATAATGAGCAACTATCTCTAGTAAGATAGAGGGTCCTTGAGGTATACGCCCAATAGTTGGATAACTGGGTCATGTGCTCATCTATTTCCAGTTTTTGATGAGCCTCCACACTGATTTCCACAGTGCTTGTGACTGTTTGCACTCCCACCAGCTATGAGTTAAATGTTTCTCTTCCCCCACATCAGCACCAGCATGTGCTAGCACTTGAAACCCATTTTGTATGGACTCTTAAGATAGAACACATACCTGACACCAGTATAGGGGCCAAGAACTGTGGCTACGCAGATCATAGTCCTAGGGGAAAACCTGCTACCATCACACTGACAACAGGCAGTAGTATTAAACTCACTGTATCTCCTCACTGTACTCATGGATGAGTACTTCCCTATGACCTCATCAGGGAAACTTGTCTTTGCAGTAGATGGCAATTAACACAGAGATGCACAATTGGTCAAGGTTCAGAAAGTAAGGGACTGCGGAGTGCTCAGCCCTAACTGTGACATCTACATCTCACCCCATCTCCTCCCAAGGCTCAGGGATCACTACGGAAGAGAGGAAGGAAGGACCACAAGCGCCCAAGGCAGCGGGTGACTGTAAGGAAACAGTGTCTTCTGGACACAACAGGGCCCTTGCTCGTATGAACACACAGCCGTTCTGACAGCCTATACAAGATCTGCACAAGTTCAAGGCAAGCGAAATCCCAGCATGGAGTCAGGAGGTAGGTACAAAGCCCAACCTCTAAGCAAGGAGCTGTTGGTAACTGACAGCTGTTTACAGGGGGACAGTTACCTTTTTAGGGATGCTCACACATTTAAGGATGTACCCAGCACTAATACAACGAATGGGTTGTTTGTTTTTTCGTTTGTTTGTTTAATAAGGACACAAGTTGAGTGGGTATGGAAAGCAGGGGATGTGTCTGGGAGGATACAGGAGAAGGGATGAATATTACCAAAATGCAATGTATGAAGTTCTCAAAGAGCTAATAAAAAATATTTTAAAACGTCCATTAACGTCACCTGTCTTTGACAGTACCAACATTTTAAGCTTTTTTTTTTTTCTAAGCCAGGGTCTCCCTGTGTATCCTTGGCTGGTCTGGAGGTTGCTACGAAGACCCGCCTGGTCTTGAATTCACGAAGATCGGCCTGCCTCTGCCTCTTGAGTACTGAGATTAAAAGCGTGCACGGAAACACTTGGATGGTATCCACATTCTAAAAGAAAGACTGGAAAAACAGATGAGATGCCATGTAAAATAATAATAATAATCATCATCATCATCATCAAAGTTTACCTTTAAAGTGTTTTTTATTATTTTGTTAACAATTCTGTCTTTAACAATTCATTACAAAATATCAAAACTACAACCATATAATTCATCATCTGTAGCGACCACCCAGCAAAAACTGTGTGTGGGTGTGTGAGTGTGTATGTGTGTGCAGCCTTACATGTAAAGGCGAGCGCAGGAGGCATGCTCGTCAAAAGAAAACCTCAGGAGTCCACCGCTGCCAAGTCCAGATGTGCCACCACAGCCACATCTGGAGCGAGCACAGCGGAGCTACTTTCTGGAGTCGATCTGAAATCACTTTTGTTTCCCCGGGCCCGGTGAAGGAGAGGTCTCCCGCTAGATCTGTGTACATGAACCAGATTTCCCTCATAGGGCGGTTCCTGGCCTCTCCCTAGTCCTGGATTTTCCAGGGAAAATCTTTTGACAGCTCACATCCTCAACGGGAAAGGCCAGAAGGGCAAGACGAGAGATGCAGAGATGGGTCGTGAGGGACTAAGTTAGAGGAATGGTCGGAGGAGTCTACGGGAAACTGTTTTCAGCCCGCCCAGAGCTGGTTGCCGAGGAGAGATGAGAGAGAGATGAGAGACTTAACCGCACGAGACAGGGACCACCCGAGGACTCTCAGAGGTGTCCGATCCAGCTTGTTTCTCAGCTGTGCCTCCCATGAAAATAGGCCTCTACAGTGCACACGACGCCTCCGTTTTTGTGAGAATGAAGCTCCCCAGGGGTCGCTGGTGCTACACCTTCAATCGGGGGCCCCCCAGGTTCGTGGAGCCATGAGCTCCATCTCTAAAAGGAGGAAAGGCTACAGTCTCCACCTCTATCAGTCTCAGGTTGAAATGTCACGTTTTTTCTCGGCCTCCCATTCCAGAGCCAACACTGGCCAGCAGTTTGTTCGTCTTGGTTTATGGCTGGGTGTGATGACCTCTGAGTCTAAGACTATCATTGCCTGGCAATCATCCATTCGTGATTACTGCAAATGCCCGGTCACCAAGCACCAGTCTTTGGGCACAAGCACCAGTGATACCCACGTATTCTCCTCCGTCATCGCCTAGTGCTCCTCCGCCTTCCTGGGAGTGTGTGAACCCGTTACCCTCATCCTGCCCTGTGTGGTAACTCTGCTCCTGCGTGCTGGCTGGCTGACATGGAAAGGCTAAACGGACATGACCCTCCCTTTCACTGCAGCTCTCACTGTTTTATTTCGCCCTAGAGCCCGGCTCTGAACCTTCCTGATGCTGCGACATTAATACAGATCCCCCGTGTTGTGGTGACCCCTAACCAGGAAATCGTTCTCGTTGCTACCTCATAACTGTCATTTTGCTGCTGTTATGAATCACAATGTAAATGTTTGTGTTTTCCATTGGTCTTAGGTGACCCCTGTGACAAGATCACTTGACACCCCCCCCCCAGGGCAGACCCACCACTCTCTTTCATCCTAAACCCACCGGAACCTGGTGTCATAAGGATGAGAAGAAGAAATCGTGCGAAACAGCCACAGGGAGCCTTGGTGAGAGGAACCCCTGATCACTGACGGGCAATCTAGCCTGATTCCCTGTCACAGATCATGTGGCCAGGGGTGCCACAGGATAGGCGTGAAAACACCCATGGGAAGTTTTTAAAGATTTTTTTCTTCAGGAGTGTCTGTTTGTATTGCACACGCCATGGTACATGCACATGCATTCGGGTACGGAAGGAGACCAGGAAACGACATCGGACCCCCTGGAGCCGGAGTGACAGGCAGTTTGTAAGCTGCCCCGCATGTGCCCGGGGAGTCGAGATCCGATCCCGTGCTCTTAACCACTCAGCCATCTCTTTGGCCCCTGTTAGCATCTCTTGGATATAAAAATTCCATCTCTTTGGACACGTATGACCAGCAGTGGGACTGTGTCCTGGGATAGATCTGTCTTCAGGCTCCATGCAGACTGCTCTAGTCCATTCCCATCAACAGTGCACACGAACGACTCTCCACAGGCCCCCCGCACGTTATTGTCCGTGATAGCCTTTCAAACTTATCGACGCTTTCCTGGCGATTTCAGAATCTCCTTGCGGGCCACTACAGACTTCTCTGAAGGAGTAGGTCATTGTTACTGGATTACCTCCTTAGAAGAACAATTCCCTTTTTAATGTTTTTAAATTGACATAGTTCTCATGACTTCACATTTGCCCTTTCGGATATAAGACATCTAACCCCAAAGGAAATAACCCCAACTTATGAAACAAGTAAGTAGCCACACCACAGATAAAATACGGCTAAACTTTCCAGTAATAAAACCCCCAAAAGCCTCTGCATAGCTCAGAGCGGGGGCGGGGCGGGGCCAGAGCCCTGTGTCTTGTGTCTTACTAAAGCCAGCACCTGGAATAGTGCTCGCCATCTGGGACGGACACCAGAAGCAGCAACATGCCTCCTGCTTCCCTTCTCCCCATGGCCACCTTTTTCCTTCTAATTTCTGGAGGTAAGACATGCCTTCACACGCCTTTTCCTTTTGCTCACAATGAAGTAGAAATCTACATAGATTTAGTTTATTCTTGAGGTGATATAATAAAGGGGGAAAGGAAATAATAAAAAGGCCCAATCATTTTTAAATGCTGCCATTTGTCTTTGCTATCTAAAGGGCACACCAGCTTTAAAAGAAATTTTAAAAAGCCAGTGTCTGAGGAAATAATATGGAAGCATCAGCTACATTTTGTGACTCTTATGAATCCAGACCTCTACCAAACAAGGCCTTTGTGTGGGAAAAAAAAAAAAAACTATCAGTGCCATTAAAGGGGGGATGTAGGAGCTGTGTTAACCGACCTGCCAATTGTATAAGCACAACTGAATGCTTCAGCTAAGTCTTGCTATGTTCAGTTTCAAGATACTGTTTGTGGCTGTGTTTATGCCCAGTTCTAGGGATAATGAAGAGAATAACATTTTCAGTGTAAAACAAACACATGCATACATATCAATGCACATCAACAAATGTCTGTCCTTAATGAAGCTCACAAGTAAGAGTTAGCTCTATGCTAACAGCCTCTCAGACATCAGCCCACTTGAACACCTTAATGTCATTGCCATCATCTCCATTTCACATTTGGGAAACCAACACCAGAAAGGTTACTAAATGGACAAAGATGGTTAGCAGCTGGTTAGCAGAACTGCTGGGTTTAAGCTCTGACTTTGGGTCCAGACAGACCTTCAGAGCTGGAGCACTGACATAGGATCTGTGAGCCTATTTAAGGCCATGCTTAGGCCTCAGAAAGCCTGCGACTTTACCAAAGCCATAGGCAAATATTTAAACTGCACGTGTATGCCTTGTTTTATTAGATTCTCATAACTCTGGAAGGAAAATGTTAAAAGAAAGAAAAGACAGTAGGCAAGAAGTCCAACTGGAGGACGCTCTGTTTCCCAATGGGAAAATATGGGTTTGCACCACATGAGACTGTAAGGACAATGCCTTGACATTATTAGTGGTGTGAACTTGAGCATTTAAACTTTACCGTTCTCATTTCCCTAGAAAAATAGCACCCATCTTCCATTGCAATTAATATTATGAGTGGTGTCAGTCACAGATGGGTGCCTGGAGTCAGAGATGCTCCATTACTGCCGCTACATAGGTTCTTAATTTTTCTTTACTTTTAATATAATTTATTAAAACTGCTACTAGCCATAACAAACTTGCTATGGAATACTGTAGATTTTTTAAGGCCAGTGCCCCAGTGTCCCACATGTAATTGGCATCATATTTTACTAATAATAGATTTTTTTATCTATGACCATTCAAGACGGTTCTCAGTATCTCTGCTTCTGAATAAGAGGGTAGAGAATCCGTTTCAATGCAAACTGAGTAGCAGAGAGTCTATCTGGGGCTGTTGTCGAGTCCTGGAGGTCCGACCAAGAATGCTGCCGACCCAATCTGCATTATTCTCCTGCAGCCCTCCAGCTTCTGGCCACTTGGTGGTCTGTGATGTTTCTACCCTGTATCAAATGACTCTTTGTGAAATGCTGTCTGCTGGTGATGACAGTCCACAGCGTTAAAACTAGGATAAGTCACTGCTTTCCTAGGCAAGCACATCCACAGTCCTCTGCTGCTCAGAGGGTCACCGGCATCAGAAGCACGATGCATGCTTAAAACGTATGTTTCCTGATTCCAAATCATTCTCTCCAGTGGGTCTATGGAATATAGGTTATTATTATAACAATAAAGCCTGAGAACTATCATGCAGAAAAGAAATGAATTCTACACATTTGTCATTTTGACCCTAATGAGAAAAAAAAAAAAGATAATGAAGAAACAGAAAGAAGACAGAGAGTAGGGTAAGGAAAAGCAGGAAAGAGAGAGGGAGAAAGGCAGAGAGAGCATCAATTTAGGCGTACGGCATAAAAATGATTTAAAAGTAGGGATGTTTGTTTATGTTAAAAACTCTAAATAAAAACCTAAACTCAAGCCAGACATGTCTAGCATTTGGGAGGCGGAGGTAGGACCAATGTTATCCTTGGCTACTTGATGAGTTTGAGGCTAGCCTGGGCTACATGAGACCCTGTCTCAGGAAACAGAAGCCGAGCACTAAGCTGGGTTTGATTAAATGTTATGAAGCATGCATGTGTGGCTGGGAACACAGCCATGAGGCAAACGCTACAGCAGTAGCAGCAGCCAGAGCCTGGGCTTGCTCTACCCCGGTCCCCAGCACAGGACACACATATAAAAATTAGCACGATTAGCGCTGTAATTTTTTTATTATTATTATTTTAGCCGAACTTTCCTGGGGTAAAGGATTGCTCAAGCAAGGCTTTCACTCTCTATCGATCTCTTCATTTTTCCAGAGACCTGTGAGGGAATTATAGGAGGACATAAGGTGCCATCTCATGCCAGACGCTACATGGTTCTCATCAAAGGGCTGGAAATCTGCGCAGGGGCTTTGATCAAAGAAAACTGGGTGCTGACAGCTGCTCACTGTGACCTGTAAGTCATCCAGGCGCCCCTCATTCCCAGTGCTGACTCATAGCTATCCAGTCCAAAGCCACAAATGTGGCAGTATGGAGAGAAAACGGGCACACACGATCTGTTACAAACATACAATCCATTACATACACGGGCACATCCCATACATTATATCCTATTGTGATATTTACCTCACAGGCCAGATAGTATAGAATAAGACTGAAAAGTACATTAAAAGTGGGTCTTTTCCCACTACAAAGAGCAACAGTACTAGAACTTGAAAAGACAGGGAAATAACAGCACTCAGTCTGATCACTCACAAACAGTCTCTGTCAGTGTTCTGTTCCCTGTTTGGCTCACAAGCATATTTTACACAATCAATCATCAATCACACTGAGTTGTCTCCTATGGCTACAGCTCATTTATTCCATTACTGGTCTTGTCCCACCTTAATATGATATATTAGAGTGATCCCAGGAAATTACTACTCTTTGACTGCTAAAAACAATAACCGTACCCTATAGCTTAAACTAATGGTCCGAGTCATTATTTTAAAGGCCGAGTCATAGTTATCATGATAATCTACTCTTCTTTAACTGTGTCTGTTGCTGGTCAGCAAGGCCTGATAGTCCTTGTTCATTTTAGCACAAATTGCCTGATCCAAAGATGCAGCTTAAAATTATATAAAAAGTTATGCTGTGGTAGAAGATAAAATCTATCAAGTAAGAACACAATTCATGCAGACAGGAAAGCTGGCACGTTGGTTAACTGACAGGACTGTTTGGTGCCCTGTTGATGCAACAAGTCAGGATATAATTTTTCTTATGTCATTTGGTTCACAAACAAGATTAGGAGTCAGCTCTAACTCCATTGGCTTCTTGTGTCTTTGGTTCATCTATGTAGGTGTTCATATGTGAGGCAGCAGGATATGTGGGAGGGAGTTAGGGAGAGAGGGGTGTGTGTATGTGTGTGTGTGTGTGTGTGTGTGTGTGTGTGTGTGTGTGTAGGAGGGTTGTCTGTATTTGTCTGAAGCAAGCAGGCTACTGTCAGTTCAGATTTATCTGTCTGTGCCCTTGGGTTAGGTCTTTGCACTGGGTGTCATCAACCTAGAAGGCCACTAGGAGACAGACTTTGCTGTACAAAATTAACCAACGTAAAGAAACAGGAAGTTCTTCCTTTGCTATGGACGCCCAGGGCCACAGTGCCTGTCCTGGGAATCCCCTGCTCCACAGCCTCCAGGCCATCCCAACTCAAGTCAGGGACTCCCTTCCTGGTTTCTTCCTTCTGGAAAAGACATTGGCAGCTTGAATGCATCCTAATGCATGTGGGAAGTCTGATGGAGAAGATGCCAAGACACCAAAAAAGAAGGTTCTATAAGGCCCAGCTCCATCTCTCGCTTGCTTATAAAACAGCACCCACGAACACTGAAACGCAAAGAGCAGAACTTACTCTCTTCTCTTAAATATTGTGTGGTTTCCTTCTCAGGAGAGGCAAGCCTCAGATTATTCTTGGTGCCCACCTTGTATCTCAGGAAGAGAAACTTGAACAGATGTTTTCCATTAAAAGGGCAGTTTCCTACCCATGCTATGATCCTGAGACATTTCAAGGAGATCTCCAACTCCTTCAGGTAAATATGCTTAAATATTTTGGGTTTTTTTTTTTTCTCTCGTAACTTTTAGTAAAAAGACAGTTACTTTGAGTGAGTACAGACACACACCCCACAAACCAGCCCTCACAAGATGGGCTCCAAGGACAAGGCACCTCAGGAGGGCAGGGGTCCAGCACTTTGTTTCCAGCGTCCCTTCCCCCTGAGTTCAACAGCTTCTCACAAAGCTGTCATAGGACCAGGCAGGCTCCAGTGTTGACGTTCATCGAGAACTCTCCCATAGTGAGACAACTCTCTGATGAATGATGCCCAACCAGCAGGGGAGACAGCCACTCTGGGAAAACACTGGGTAGACCCAGTGAGATGACACGGAGAGGGCCTTCTTGTAGGATTTGAGCTCTGTAGCAGTCTGGGAGAGCACCGAGGAACTGAGTCTGGTCTGAGCGGAGAGGTGTCATCGAGCGGGCTAGCTCTATGATGAGGGATCTGTGAAGCTGGGTGCGGTGGCACACGCCTCTAATCCCAGCACTCTGGGGGGCTAAGGCAGGCGGATCTCTGTGAGTTCGAAACCAGCTTGGTCTACAAAGTGAGTGCAGGACAACCAAGGCTACACAGAGAAAACTTGTCTCAAATACAACCCCCCTCAAAAAAAAAAAAAAAAAAAAAAAAGAAAAAGAAAAAGAAAAAGAAAAAGAAAAAAAAAAAGTCTTACCTGGGAAGCAGTAGGGAAAGAGTCAATGTGACTCTAAGGACACACCCATCATGAATTTTAGCCAAGGTAATTTTAGACTTGTGGACAATGACATCAGTTTTGCCCCTGCTCAAACTTGACTACAGGGCTGCCCTGTAATTACTCCCTCCACTGAATTCATCTTGTCTGGTACTGTCCATCTGTGAGGAAGCTAAGAATTAGCAGGAAGTTAGTGCTCAGTGGTTAGCGCAGCCGGCCCACCTCTTCTACAGAAGATGAGCTGTAAGCAGGACTTCCTCCAGAAGTACTCAGTCTAGAGAGGGACAGACACAAACCACTGGCTCTGAACCGATGGTGTTCTGCTAATTCACCCCCCACCCCCCACCATCACCACCAAGATAAAATCAAGGAAGGGCAGGTGGTCCAGGAAGCCTGCTGGGTCCCAGCAAAGGCGGAGGCAGGGGCTTTCTAGTTAGGAAGAAGTGTGTGTAACAGAGAATAGCTTGGAGGAGGAGAGGAGAGAAAAAGAGTTAGCATGAAATTTGACGCTGAGGGGTGGAGTGGGACACAGAGCGCAAAGGCGGGTTTTGTAAATCCTGCCCGGAAGTTCGAACAGAGAAGCGTTTTAACCGGGAGGGTGATATTACCGGACTCAGTGATGCAGAAAACAGAACGAAGCAAAACGGAATCGGAAAAGAGTGAGAGCGCAGTGAGGGGCTCACAACTCACAAAACTGCAAACGGGCTGACTGGGAACGTCACAGCAGGACTGAAACAGCCCGGGGGCGCTGCACCCCCGCGGGTAAAGGGAGAGCCGTAGGGCTCCATTTGCCTCTGACAGGCCCTTCACCTTCCTTGTCCGCGTAGTACTCGGACTTCAGCCTAACCCTCCCCACTATTTTCCCAGAGACCCCCAGGCCTGGCCCTCCCTGTGTCCTCCCCTCCTCCAAATGCAGATTCCTGCCTGGCAACCTAGGCGGTGAGAGGCAGCTCCACCCCACCCCGCCCCCGCCCCTCGGTACTCGGCTCCCTTGGTTAAGCTTCAGGTTACAGCGTTTCTTCCTCCGCCGCCTTCATCGGAACGTAACGACTCTTGCGCTTTCAGCTGGATGGTAAGGCAACCATGACCAAAGCTGTGGGGATCCTTCACCTCCCAAAGAGAGGAGATGATGTGAAACCCCACACCAAGTGTCACGTGGCCGGATGGGGGAGCACCAAAAGAGACTCCTGCAAAGTTTCCAACATCCTGAGAGAGGTCAACGTCACTGTGATCGACCGAAAAGTCTGCAACGGTCCCTCGCATTACGACTTCAAGCAGGTGGTGGACAAGGGCATGGTCTGCGCTGGAGGCAAGAAAGGGGAAGACGAGTCGTGCAGCGTATGTAAATGAGAATGTCTCGCCCTGTCCTTCGGCTCCAGGGAATGAAAGGGTTAAAGGAATCTGGTAGAAAGAACGTGGCGAACAGCTGTGATTTCCTTTTCTGTCCCTACAGTGGTCTCTCCTTTCTAATGATCATCTTTAGTACATGCTAGAAATAAGGAAAAATGAGAAATAACAAATTCTTCGAGGAAAAAAAAAAAACCTAAAAATTATTTAAGATATCAAAAGTGCCCTTCTGTCTGAGATGGCTTAGCTAGTATCATCTTTGGAGAAAGGCGTATTTGAGACACCTCCCCTCCCCTCCATCTCAAGCTTTCTAATTGTCCCAACCTATGTCTTCCTCTGACATACTGGCCAAGAGAGAAGACACTTTTTTTTAAATTGTTTTTTAATGACAGCGATGTGGCTAAGCAGGTAAAGGTGCGTGCTGCCAAGTCTACATTTGATCCACAGATTCCACACGGTAGAAGAAGAGAATCGGTTCTCACAAGTTGTCCTCTGACCACCACGTACATACTGTGGCCCATAGAGAGAGACAGAGACACGGAGAGAATGTTATTCTTTGTTTATTTTAAAAGTTGACACAGGCCAGTGTAAGGAGACTTCTATTCTCTCTTTGTCTTACTGATGGCAGTAAGTCTGCGTTGCTGCAGAACTGCTTTTTTAAAAATATAAATGGCTGGGAGACAGAAGTGCATCTGTGACCGTAGAAGCTAAGCTTTTTGTTCTGTTTTTCCTTTTGAGATTCTCTTTCTCCTGATTCATTTTCTTGTTCCGTTTCTTTAGAGTCCGTCCATTGTGAAGAATAATGGGTTTCGTCATAAAGCTTTCACACACTCACACACACCATCATGTACTCTTCAGTCACATGCTCCATGTTGCCCTCTCTATTCCCCCATTCTCCTCTCCACCCCCCCCACCAGTCCCCTTCCTCTTCTAAACTCTTCTTTCCTTCTTAATGTCATGTCGTTTCATCCCTTTGGTTTATTTTTTTGTTTTCGAGATAGGCACTCATGTTGGTTTAGGGTTTGTGGTTATTTTTGTTTTTTGGTTTTGTGTGTGTGTGTGTGTGTGTGTGTTGTTGTTGTTGTTGTTGTTGTTGTTGTTGTTTAGGAACCCAGGCTAGCCCAGAACTCATAACAATCCTCCTGCCTTAGCCTTTCATTCTCATTAACTTTTAATCTAGTTTCTGCATATAAAAGAAAATGTGCTGTTTGTCTTTCTGAGCCTTTTTTTATCATCAAATGATTATCTCTAATTAAAGAAGTTTAAAAGTTGCTTTTAAATCAGGAAAGAGAAATAAAAGGTATGACTGAAGTATGACTGGATGGATGGATGCATGCATGCATGGATGGATAAAATAATTAGCATCTTGGAATGACACCCATACTGAAAACACTTGCCTTTCTGTTCCAGGGAGATTCTGGAAGCCCTCTGATCTGTGATAATGTTTTCAGAGGGGTCACTTCCTTTGGAAAATGTGGTGATCCCAGGAAGCCTGGTGTCTACACTCTTCTTACAGATAAATACCTCAGCTGGATACAGAAAACTATTACAGGAACCATATGACATGGTTCCTGGGAAGCAGGTGCCTGAAATCATCACTGGAAGAGTTCAAACAAAAGGGACTGAAACTTCTCCTATCCCAGACAGCACTTGTCAGTCCTAACTGCACCAGCCACAGCTTGTCTGAACCAGTCACCAGCTACCTGCTTGCGCTGCTAAGACTGCAGCTTCACATTTAACTCTCTGTGGCAAGAGAGAGCCTCGAGAAGAGAGAGAGCCCTGCATTCAAAATAACCTTGCTTTATTCAGAAAGTGAGGCACGATGCTTCCCTATGTTCTGCTTAAAAGAAGCCAATCCCAGGGAAAGCCCAAATAATCTTTGCTCTCCCAAATACAGACCCCCAAATACCTGTGGCCCTTCCAATTTTGTGTGTGTATGTGTGAATTTTTATTATTATTGAAAATAGATTATTCTCAGGTCTGGAGAGATGGCTCAGAGGTTAAGAGCACTGGCTGCTCTTCCAAAGGTCCTGAGTTCAATTCCCAGCACCCATGTGGTGGCTCACAGCCATCTGTTGCCCTCTTCCGGCTTGCAGGTGTACATGCAGACAGAACACTATACAAAATAAATCGGAAAGAAAGAAAGAAAGAAAGAAAGAAAGAAAGAAAGAAAGAAAGAAAGAAAGAAAGAAAGAGAAAAAAAGAGAGAAAGAGAGAAAGTAGATTCTTCTCTCATATAGTACACCCCAACCACAGTTTCACCTCCCACCACTCCTCCTAGCCTCCCTCACCTTCCCTCTCCCACAGATCCACTCCCCTCCATTTCCTCTTCAGAAAAAAAAGCAAGGTTCCAAGAGATGACATCCAGATGGAACAAAACAAGACACAATAAGAGAAGGCAAGAGCCCTAATATCAAGGCTGGACGAGGCAATGCAATAGGAGGAAAAGTGTCTTAAGAGCAGGCAAGAGAGTCATTGATATACCTGTTCCCACTGTTAGGAGTCCCACGAGAACATCAAGCTAACAGCCACAACATATACACCAAGGACCTGGCACAGACCCACACAGGCCGAGTGCTTGTCGCTTCAGTTTCTGTGAGCCCATGTGAGCCCTGCTCTGTTGATCCAGGGGGCCATGTTCTCCTGATGTCCTCCATCTCCTCTGACTCCTACAGTCTTCTCCCTCTCTCTCTTCCACGGAGTTCCTTGATCTCCTGAGGAGAGGGACCCAAGGGAAACCTCCCACATAGTCTCTCTCCCCACATAATGTCTGGCTGTGGCTCTCTGCACCCGCTCTCAGAGGGAGGGAGACCGTCTAATGACAACTAGACAATGCACCTATCTATGAGTGCAGCCAAATATTATTAGGAATAATTTCATTGATTATTTTGTTTTAGTTTTTTGGGGGGTTTTGTTTGTTTGTTTGTTGTTTTTTTCGTTTTTTGCCAGCTGTGTTTAGTTCTACCCTAGGTCTCTGGTTCCATTCTCCAGTTCTGGCCATCCAGGCAGTGTAGGGCATGGGCTTCCTCTTAGTTAAATCAGACATTGGCTGGCCACTCACACGGGTTCTAAGCCATCATTGTCCCAGCACATCTTGCAGGCAGGACAGATTGTAGGTGGGTGGTTTTGTGGCTGGGTTGGCGTCCAGGCTTCTCCTTTCATAGGCTGCAGAGAGACTAAAGCATAGGGTGACATCTCTATGCCTGAACCAGCTCTGCTCCTCTGCCTTCAAGGAGTGAAGGGAAGTTGTCCCAGAATTAGTTTTCAGAGGATGACCTTCTGTCTAGCGTCAGCCTAGAGATCTCCACAGGACCTCCTCAGTCAACAACTCAACCGAATGTAACCTAGTCCCGCCACTGAAAACCTTGCCTGACTTCGAAAGATAGCCGGTTCGGATTCCATACCCTCCATTACCAGGTGTCCTGGCTAAGCTCACTCTCGTAGATTCCAGGGAGTTTCCACTGAACCACTTTTCCACACTCCCCCCTCCCATAGCTCTCCCCACACTCTCTCCCTCCAACCCCCACATGGTCCCTCCCACCCCTGTCCCCACCAGCCCCCAGTCCACCCTCAGAGCTTATACTATTTATTTCCCATTCCTAGGGAGATCCATGCTTCCCCACTACAGCCCTCCTCTTAACCGCTCTGGGTCTATGGGTTGTAACTTAATTATCTATCATTTACTTGACAGCTAATATTCGCTTATAAGTAAATATATACCATATTTGGCTTTCTCCTCATGAGTTACCTCACTCAGCATGTTTTTTTTTTAGTTGCATCCTGTTGCCTGCAAATTTCATGGTGTCATTTTTTAAGCCTCTGAGTAATAAATACTCCATTGTGTAAACATGCCACAGTTTCTTTATCCATTCTTTAGTTGAGGGACACCTAGGTTGTTTCTAGTTTTTGGATATTATGAATAAAGCTGCTATGAACATAGTTGAGCAAGTGTTCTTATGGTAGGATGGAGCATCCTTTGGGTATATGCCCAAGAGTGGTATAGCTGGGTCTTGTGGTATATGGATTTTCTGAAAGACTGCCACATTGATTTTCATAGTGGCTGTAAAAGTGTGCACTCCCATCAGCAGTGACAGAATGTTTCTCTTCCTCCACATGCTCTACAGCATGAGCTATGACTTGTGTTGTTGATCTTAGCAATTTGAACATGTGTAAGAAGAAATCTCAAAATAGTTTTGATTTGCATTTCCCTGATGGCAAAGGATGTTAAACATTTCTTTAGTGTTTCTCAGCAATTTGAAATTCCTCTATTGAGAATTAGATATGTACCCAATTTTAATTGGATTTTAACTTGTTTTTTATATCTAACTTCTTGAGTTTTATGTGTTGTTTGACTATTCAATCTACATCAGCAGTGGACTTGGTAAAAAAATCTTTTTCCATTTCATAGGGTGTCACTTTGTTTGATTGACAGAAGCTTTTCAGTTTCATGAGGTCCCATTTATTAATTGCTGAGGTTAGTGCCTTTTCTGTTCAGGATGTTATCTCCTGTGGCAATGCGCTCAAGACTCTTCCCCACTTTCTTTTCTTTCAGGTTCAGTTTGTCTTATTTTGTCCCGAAGCACTTTCAGGGGACCACCCTGTGCCAGGCACTGTGCCCAACACTGTAAACACAGAGGGGCCTGGGGCATTAAGCACTGTGCCTCCAGTGTTCAGAGGCTAGCAATGAGGAAGATAATTAACCAGGATCTAGAAGACACAGAACAGAGCAGAGTGAGTTTATGGTGTGAGGATGGTAATTGGAGAAAGATAAATAAAATTTCACTTCTGTCATTAGCCACAACTTTTTCTCTTAAGGCCAATACAAAGTCCGGTTTTCTGACTAACTTCCACAGATCTTCCAGCTAGCCTTAGTAGAGAGATCACAGGTCTACACAGCCAACCTAAGACACATCTCTAAATCATTTAAGACCTTGAGCACAGAACTAGTCTGTGCCTCCATTTTCATGTTTGTATTCTTGAATAAGTAAAACATAAGAATTTAAAGTGAAATAGGCCAGAACTTTGTTATCAAGAATTGTTCATCATTCCTCCTAGAAAGGTTAATAGAGAAAAAAAAAAAAAAAAAAAAAAAGACAACAACAGGTGTTGAGGATGTGGAGAAAGGTGAACTTCTTCTGCACGCTAGTGGTAGAAAAGTGGCATGGCACAGCTGCTGTGGAAATGATATTGCAAAAATCAGTTTCTCTGTGAGCCTAGGTTTTCATTCTAAGTCTACCTAAGAGAAACGAAAGCACACACCCTAGCAAAACCTTGAGCACAAATATTCACAGCAACATTATCTACACTGGCTAAAAAGAAGCAGCAATCCAAAAGTCTACCCGCTAACAAGCCAATTTTCCACAAAAGTTCATAAAAGCAATAAGAAAAGCTCTAGTGTTGTTTCATGGGTATTTGAAAACTTGTCTTATTGTTTGAGACCAGGGATAATTCGTAACAATTACGTCACTTACTGATTACACGTAGACAAGAATTCCGTGAGCCCATGCAACATACCCATGTGATAGAATATTATTCAGGCATAAAAACAAATTAAGCACTGGGAGATTCTATCATGAATAACCTATAAGAATGTGGCTTAACATGAGGTGGCATGGGTGTGGAAGTAATGCCGTCCCCTTCCTTGCTCCTTACCACCTCTGGCAACTGGGAGAGCTAGCTCGGGAGTCATGAGAGCTGGAAAGCTATCCCTGCCCCTCAAGACTCCAGCACTCAGGAGAGTGGGCCCTACACCTCACTGGGCAGCACACTAAAGCTGGCTCTAGGCATGGGTCCCGGTGAGTTGGCCCCTAGGGCACGGGAGCAGGAGAGCTGACCCTGCCGGTGGCAGCACTGGGTGGCCTAGCCAGAGCACTGCCGGAGAGCTCACACTGGTGGTGCGGATGAGGGGGAGCTGGCAGGCGACCATCTCAGCGACCACCCAGGCCCAGATCCAGGGCTTTGAATTGGCCCACATCAAAAATCTACATCATCTTTGAACTGTTGGAGTGTGTGAAAGGGCCAGTCCCCTGATCCAAAGCTACAGGATCTCCATGATACAGGGCAACAACAGGATAAGTGGGTGAAGTCCAGGTGAAAATCCAATACCCATGCTGTCACAGAAGCCAGAGGCCTCGAACCGGACAAATGGCTCACTGCAATGAACATGTGAAGGTGTGCGGACAGAGGGATACACTGTGGGACATGCCATGACACACGGCAGCTCTCGCAACAAGATGTTTTCTAGGCTTTGTTTTGATGTGTTTGGGTGAGTGTGTGTGTGTGTGTGTGTGTGTGTCTGTGTGTGTGTGTGTGTGTGTGAGACTTTGGGGGGAGGTTGCAAGGGTGGAGGGTAGATATGAGGGGACGGAGAGATGAGTTGGGACTGGAGTGCGTGATGTAAAACTAACGATCAATAAGGTTAAAAAAAAAAAAATGGGCCTCAACATGGATGGACCTTGAAAACAAGCTAAATGAAAGAAAGAAAACACCAAAAGGCTGCATGAAAGATATCAAGAACAGGTCAATCCATAGCCCCGCAAAGATGAGAGGTTGCCACTGGCTAGAAATGGGGACTGACTCCTAACAGGCATAAAGCTTCTTTTTAGGACAGCTGTTCTCAACCTGTGGGCCATGACCCTTTTGGAAGTCACATATCAGATATGTACCTAACAGCAGCAAATCTACAGTCATGAAGTAACTGTAACACAGAGCGAGGAGCTGTGTTAAAGGGTCTCAGCATCAGGAAGGCTGAGAACCACTGTTTGGGGGGTGAGGAAAAGCAGACATCATATAGTTAGGACTATGGTTTGGCTCCTTGGATGAGCACTGGCCTAGAATGTTCAAGGCCCTGGGTTGGACCGCAACCAACCAATGAAGGTGTGGGGTCAGG